TGTGTGTGTGTGTGTGTGTGTGTGTGTGTGTGTGTGTGTGTGTGTGAAATTCTAGCCCATCCATAGGGTGGATGTTGGCTTTGAAACCCATGATTGCCCACAGCCACTCATAACCACAGCCAGAGTCTGGGCTGAAAGATACAGTGTGGGTCACTGAAGAAGGTTCCAGCAAAGCGTGTGTGTGCTGCCTTCACCATCCTGCCTCCTCCCTAAGTGGTACTTAACCTCCGAAGTGCAGAAGCCCGTCTGTCATTCAGGAGCCCTTTCATACTGCCCTGCTTCCTTCTGGCGACATGTCGCTGCTGTTAACTGGAGTGCTGGAGTGAGCTTCGGTTCCCTCCCCTGCTCTCGAGGGGCTGTCCAGGGGACACTGCCAGTCCTGATGGGAGTCCCGCCCACTGGCCATCTTCAGTCTTGCTAAGGGCTGTTATCAAAGGACCTGTCAGGTGTCTGGTCAAAGTGAGACTTCCCAGGAACAAAAGGACAGGAGTTTATCATCTCCCTGGGAGCTCAGAATTCAGGGTTAAGTTGTCTTCCTGCTGCGGCCTTTCTGGGTGGTCAGTCCCCACTTCAGAGAGCCTGACAGAGCATGGACAGCGAGGTGACCCAGAGAAGAGAATGTTCGTAATAGGCAGCGATATTTGATCTCTTATAAATGATTCATTTCCCCCTGACAGCACTTTTCAGTCCGCCTGTCAGTTATAATGAATCGGCAGGTGTATCTCACTCCAGCAGGTGTCCTGCACAAATCCCTCTTCCATAACTGGCGTGATTCCTGCCGTGTTCCCACTCCACGACACATCTTTAGTTTAAAGCACCCGGCCTTTATACTGCCTTTAAAAACAGAACCAAACTCCGCAGCTCTTATGTTGTTCTTTCAAGTGTTGGGGGAATGGTTGTACATTTTCTGTATTGAACGGACGGGAATTCACCTTCATCCTCCTTTTTTTTCCCTCCCTTTCTGAATTTGAATTCTAACTTAAAACTTCTCACAGTTCTTCCGATCAATAAAATCCTCTTGTCCGACACATGCCTTGGCCACTCAGAATGTAATTCACGAGGTGCAGGTGAGGCGTGAGGTATGCGCAGTCACGGCACACGCTCTGCCACGCTTTGACTCACAGGTGGGGACAGCAGTAGCCTCACAGAGCTGGCCCAAAGATGCGAAGAGTTGATCACTCCCTGCAAAGTGCTGACAGCTCTCTGGCAAACAGACAGACCTCAACAGATAGGCCATTCTCCTCGCCAGGAAGTGAGCCGCAGAGGTGGCTTCTCTTTGGCTCCTGTGTTCATCCAATAGAGCCTGCTCTGTGCCCTGTTCTCAGCGGAGAGCCCACGCTCCTAACAACCACAATTTATTGCAGCCAGATTAGTTTCAGAGAAAATGTTTGCCTTCTTTGTAGGAGATTGGAAGACAGCTTCACCAGGAATATGATAGTCTACTGCCCACCCACAAATGTTCAAAATAAGCATATTGTGTAGGCCTCAAGGGAGTGAGGCTTCATTTAGGAGCAGAAGACAAGGGCAAGCTAGCTGTCCATGTATTTGCATGTTTTTAATAAACAGAAGCGGCTGCACCTCAGCTTAGGAAACTGAGATTTTTTTTTCTCCGTTTACTTTTAGACTTGCGTTGGGTCGCAACCTGTGGGTCGCAACCCCTTAGAGGGGGTCAGGTATCCTGTGTATCACACATTTACACTACAGTCCAGAACAGTGGCAAAGCTACAGTTATGAGGTAGCAATGAAATAATTTTATGGTTGGGGTCAGCACAGCATGAGGAACTGTGTTAAAGGGTCACAGCTTTAGGAAGGCTGACTTGTAGGAATCTAGTTCCCTTTTCACGTGGCAGGTAACACATTTGCCTTTGAAGAAGAAAAATATGGCATTTAAGCTGGCAGACATTGAACTTTTTAGGACCAAAGTAAATTGAAAAGAATCAAATCTTTTCTACTGAACGTGTGAGAAATATTGATGGTGACATTCTGGGAACTAGAAGATGGGGATCGGGGGGGCTGGAAGTGGAGTTCGATGAGAACATGTGACCCTGGAATCAATTTCCAACAATGCCAGTGAGGAGGGGGGCCAGAGAGATGACTTAGCCCTTATGGAGCACTTGTTGCTCTTCCAGAGGACCCGGGTTCAATTCCTGACACACATGGTGGGTCATAGCCTGGTTCCATGGGATCTGATGCCCTCTTCTGGCCTCTTCATGGACCTGGTACGTTTAACATACATATAGGCAAAACACACACTTAAAAAAAAAAGGTGGTTGTTTGCGTTTTAATCTCTTAAAGAAAGAAAAGTTTTTTCTGGTCAGTCCTTTATCAGCTGGGCAGTGCTGAAATGTCTCACCAGGACGGTATTACAGTCTTCCCACTAGACTGACATTTCTGACGCCTTAGCATTTTGCCAGGTTATTCACGAACTGATTCAACACAAAATGGCAAAGTAAGGTCACTGGTAATTGCTCGTTCTCAGCTCTCCAGCTCTGGTGAGTCAGTGCAGTGCAGACCTGAGAACCACGTGCCACCAGGACTAGATGCACAATAGGAAAATAGCAGCCTGAGAGCCGAGGCCAAGGAAAGAGCTCGGGGCTCGCAAGTGTGTTCACAGCTCTGCTGTTTTTAGCTGTGTGATCTCGTATTGGTCTTAGTCATCCAGGGTCCTAGGTTTCTCACGTATAACACAAGGTTTGGGGACCTCTTGGCAAAACAGGTCAGCTTCAGAATTTATGACCCATAAAGGAAGACAGGAGGCTGTATTTTTAAGGGGATGGTGATTTCTGAATTCGTGATTTAAGTAATTATGTGCTTTATGCACTCCCGGAAGCCAGCAGAGGCTGGTGAGTCAGCCTTCCGGGGAGCTAGTGAAGATCCGCGGTGCTTTTGCTGTTGTTGCTTTACAGCAAAGCAGCAGCAGACTACAGCACACGGTTAGGCGCTAATGTGGGATTACACCAAGTTCTGGAAACGGAAACTGAGACCTTGTCCTCAAGGTGCTGTGATGGACTTGTGGCTTGTTTCGCCAAGGTTAGACATCAGAAGCATGAGCCTGGTGGACCCGTTCTGTCCTGAGATGCGGTCCTACCTAGTGAGATAACTGGGAGCAAGCATAGACATCTCCTGGCTGGGAAGTCTGAGCCGCCTGTGCCTCCTCCTTCCCTGGGGTCTTACTGAGACTCGTCTGTGGTTAGAGAAGCAAAGAGGAAACTGCCCTTGCTCTCAGTACTAGAACAGCACAGGTCTACTCTGTTTCCCTACAGTCCAGCTTGGTTTGTCACAGACTGCCTGATGTCCCCGTGGTGCACAGGGAAAGAGCAGAGATGGGGTCTTTATCCCTTTGTGGCTTTGACTGTGGCACCTGGAGTCAGTTACTGAACTCTGGCAGTCCGTGTGGCACTGTTAATCATCACCTTGTCGGTAACCTCACCATGTGCATCCAAAAATGTCCCTTCCTTAGGATAGAGTGAGGGTAAGACACCCCCACTCTCCCAAGCACTCCACACTACCCCTTGACCTCAGAGAAGCCAGCAGGAACACTCACTTCTTTATTAGCCCCTAGAACATGATATTTAAATGTTATAAGCAAAAATCGACTTGGAAAAAAATTTTAATTTAAAAAGAAAGTCCAAAAAACTACAGTACGTGAAATGAGTAAAAGCAAATTCTGCCCACAAAAGCAGCTGAGATGAAGATGTGTGTGACGTCAGTAGGAACAGGGAAGCCATTCTGATGAGTACAAAACCCTGAACCAGGGCTCATGGCAAGCGACGGGCTTGGCCTTTGTCGTAGAGCATACAGATGTAACCACAAATGGTAATGACCGTCAGGCTTGCCAGGAAAGGGTTTTGCCCACTCAGCCATATACCAAAGTGGTATATCTTTTTAATCAAACGATACTTGTCTACTCAGAAAAAGATAAAAAGCTCGTCGTGATAAAGGTACCCATTTCTGATTACATGAGTGTGTGGGGATGAACTTTTTGTGAGGCAGCACTGTAGTTCATTAAGAAAGAGAACTCTGCACAGTTAGTACTAAGTAGTATGGCATGTGCCAGGCTTATAGGCAAGCAAAGGACAGGAGTTCACATCCTCAGGGAGGTGCAGCTCAAAAGAGAGTCCCAGGGAATGAACTCTTTAATTATTGCATATTTTAAAAAGTGTGAAATGTGTGAGACCCCCTCCATGATTGCTTCAAATCCCCTGCCTGAGACCATCCAACACTCATATCTCAATCTGGTGTGTGTGTGTGTGTGTGTGTGTGTGTGTACAAGATGGAGGTGCTGACACAGAGTTGAGTCTGCAGCGACTTGGACTTGGGCAAAGGCACATGAATGGTGGCACATGTTTTCATTCATTCAGAACATAGAAACTCGTCCAAAGCACTGCCTACACTCTGCAGAACCCTCTGCTGGGTCTTCACTGTCCCAAAGTGCAAGAGCAGTAATCATCCCTCCGTAGGATCGGAGGCAGAGCTAAGGACGCTCTGACAGTGAGGGGAGCCCAGTGAGGAATGGACTTCTCTTCCCTTAGACTTTACTATGTGCCGTAAATTGCAGCCATGTCCTTTGATAAGATCAATAGTGACTCTGCTCTTTATCACTTGGTAAAATAGAACAGAATTCCCCGAGTGACCCTGTCTGTCTGTGTTGTAATTGTCAAACAGTTTAGGCTTCTGACTAACCTGAAGTGGTGGTTGTGTCCCGTCACGTGTTTTGACTAGAGGGGGACCTTAGGGTTGCCACCTCTAGCAGACACCTGCAGGGGTGAGCTGCAAAAAGAACAACCCCATTAGCAAGTGTGTTAGCAGGTGCTAATGCGATTCCACCCTCAGCAGCTCAGTTTATTCAAGACATAAAATATGGAGACCATGGCCCCACTGCATCAAGCAGCTTGCTGCCAGCTGTGATGTCTCCTTGGCTGGCCTTGAGATAGAGGCTGAGCACTCGGCTTCCCAGAAATCACCATCTCATCTACTTTTTCTGGCTTCTTCTTCTTCAGGGTTATCAATGCCGGGAAGAGCACGCACAATGAGGACCAGGCCAGCTGTGAGGTGCTCACTGTGAAGAAGAAAGTTGGGACCGTGACTTCCACCCCAAACAGAAACTCCAAGAGAAGGTCGTCCCTTCCCAACGGGGAAGGATTGCAGTTAAAGGAGAACTCCGTAAGCACGGTCCCCGCCTTGTCTTTGGTTGTCACGTCCTCTAGCCCCCACTGTAATATGCCAGGGCTTCGTCCTGCTGAGAAAGGACTTAGGAAAAGCTAGTCAGGGGCAGGACTCATTCCGTGCTGAAGGTAACACAAGTTAGGTGAACTGGCATTTGAATTTTTAACAAGGTAAACACACCACTAGATCTAGTTTGTTTTAGGAGCCAATATATATAAAATATCTGGTGGTTTCAAAGAAGCCAATTTTTTGTGGAGGAAGTGAACTAAAAGTCTTATAAGGGGTAGAAGAAACTCTAGTTCTTGGCTTAGGGCCCAGCTATGGTTCTGTCTTCCCCTTCCCTATCCGTTATACTTGGCCAGTTGGAGCCTGTTCCTAACAGTCTTCCAAGTTAATTTTTGTTTCAGTTGGCCAAAGGCCCTTGCAGCCTGCGGGGGTAGCCTGGCAGACCAAATGCCCTCCTACTGACAAGCCCCAGGGTACATCCCCTCTCTTCAGTGTCTGGAGAGCAAAGCAGACATCCCCTCAGCAATATCTACAGAAGCCCTTGGAGAAGGGTGGGGGGAGAGGGATCACCCCTGTGGATCAGCAGATTGATCAGTCCTGTGGAGAAGTGGCCTGTGGAAATTAAATGAGATGGCCCAAATGTGATTTTTTTCATTTTAAGAATCTTTGATATATTTTTTATATAAAATATACAGAATTTTAAATGAACTAGGGGTTCCTTCTTAGCCTAGAAAACAGTGTCTTGTTTCATTTAGGCTCAGAGAATAGTAAAAGTGTTGAGATCAGTTTAGAGTCAGAAGCGCAGTGGCCTGTGGGTTCTTCAGCACGTGGTTCAGCTGAAGAAAGTGTGGAATGAGGCCTTTCCCAAAGAACCCAAGGTGGTAAGGATAAGAATGATAATGGGTGTGAGCTCTGCAACAAGGTGGCTCGGGCATCTAAGGCTTACTCGCTCATTAATGTTGAGGTACTTGCTTATTCTTTTAGTCTTCATTTTGTATTTCTTTATTTATTTATAAATTTATTTTGTAACTGCCAAATGGTAGAAGGAAACTGGTTGGGATTGTGAAATCTAATGCTGGTCTGTAGAAAAATAATTTAAGCAAGTCATTGATGAAGAAATCCTCAATATAGGGCCAGTGGTTAAGAACACCAGCTGCTGTTGCAGAGAACCCAGGGTCAGTTCCCATCAGCCACATGGCAGCAACAAGTACCCATAACTCTGTATGGGGCATCACATCCCTTGGAGCTGGAATTACAGGTGTCATGTGATGTGGATGCTGGAGTCTGAATTCCAGGCTCCTGATAAAGTGGACAGATATGTCTCCAGCGCCATGGTACTATATTTCTGTGTGCTTATTGATTGGATATGTGTGTGTGTATTACATACACACATAATATATGCATACATACATATATACACTATATATATATATTCATTAGAGAATATCTATTTGAATCCCTTACACATTTTTTTAAATTATATATTCTGTTTCTATTGTTTGGTGGGGCTGTTCTCTAAAAGCCTGCAGACCTTGCCATCAATCACTGAGCACTTGCTGTATTCCAAGAATGAGATGTTGGGGATTCATCAGAAGGCATAATGACAAAAATCCTTACCCATGAGGCATTTACATTTGCTGAAAGAAGCAGTTAAATGTAGAGCGTAGCCTGGCATGGTGGCATGCGCCTTTAAACCAAGCATTTGAAAGGCAGAGGCAGGTGCAGTTCTCTGTGTTTCAGACCAGCCTGTTCTACATAAATTCCAGTATAGCCAGGGCTACATAGAGAAACCGTGTCTTGAAAAATAAATACAAAACAAGTAGTAGAATGAGCCAGGTAAGGAAGGCTGCTGAGAAAAAGGTGGAATTGGAAGCTGTGGAGGTGGAAGACAGCAGGGTGACTGTGGAAGACTTCACTGAGGTGTGATTTGGGTAAAGACATGTGGAAGAGGAACATGTTAGCATTGTGGGCCATTGCGGAGACCTGGATGTGGCCCTGAGTCCTCATGAATGAGAAGCAGAGGCATAGGAGAGCTTTGTCATGAGAGTGTGATGCACAATGAGACAGGACCATGAAGGTCGCCTTTGGGTGTTTGGCTTGTATGCTGACTGCAGACTTCGCTAGATGCTGGATACACTGATTGTAAAAGGTCAGTGTTTTCCCCCCATTTAGAAAGCACCCCTTAAGAGTCAAACTCGCATATAATAGCACTTGAGGGAGCAGGTGAGAATGTCAGGCCTAAGCTCAGCATGGTTGGAAACTGTAGATAATGATAATCTATTATATGCTTTAAAAAAGCTTGAAGGAAGGATAGCAGTGGTATAGGACCTATAGCCAAAAGCCATCAGTGGGAGACAAACGAGGCAGACTCTGCCTGTTCCCCTGTGTCTCCCTCCCTTCAGCCTGCAGACATTGATCACTGAGTCAGTGAGCTGAGCCTGGAATAAGATGAGCTCAGTGCAGCTCCCTGCTGGAGCTGGAGGAGAGAGAGTCGCTAAGCTGAGATGGTGTGATGGGGCCAGCGCTACAAAGATGCCCAGATGACACAGATTGGCCACTGGGGGGTTGACAGACAGCTTCCTAGAGAAAGTGACATTTGAACTGTGGTCTTGAAAATGAACAGGACGGGGCTGGGTGATGGTGGCACACGCCTGAAATCTCAGCACTCAGGAGGCTCTCTGAGTTTGAGGCCAACCTGGTCAACAGAGCAACTTCCAGGACAGAGAAACCCTGTCTCGAAAAACAAACAACAATGAAAACTAAACAAAGAGAAGTAAACAGGAGGGAGTAGAACTTGGTGATAGGTTATATGCCTGTCATGCACATATCCTGCCTATCAGAACTGGATTCAATCCCAGTAAAATAAAAAGAAGTAGAAAATAAGGGAAAAAAATAAGTAGTTTAGCAAGCAAAGAAGTATTAGAAAGGTGTGTTTCTGTTTAAAACAGCGATTCTCCATCTGTGGGTCGTGACCCCTTTGAGAGTTCAGTGACCCTTTCGCAGGGGTTGCATATTAGATATCCTATATATCAGATTTATCCTGTATATCAGATATTTATGTTATGATTAATAACAGTAGCAAAATTACAGTTATGAAGTAGCAACAAAAACAATCTTTGGCTGGGGATCAGCACAACCTGAAGAACTGTATTAACGGTTGCAGCATCAGGAGGGGTGAGGGGCACTGGATTGGAGGAAGGTGCGTACGTCGAGACAGGTTACAAGAGTGCCCCTGAGCCAGGATGTATGCACTTTGGAATGGAACATATATGAAATGATGGTGATGGTGAATTGTTAGGGCCTAAGCCTGGGTCCTCGCAGCTTAACAAGTTAGGGTCATCCGTTCATCCTCAGGAAGCCAATTGAAAGGACAAGGTGAAAAAGTAGAAGCACATTTGTTCAGTGCGACCACATTGGGGAGGAAGAGGTCCGGTGACCGACTAGTCTTGTTCAGTGTGACCACATTGGGAAAGAAGAGGCCTGGTGACTGACTAGTCTTGTTCAGTGTGACCACATTGGGGAGGAAGAGGCCTGGTGACCGACTAGTCTTGTTCAGTGTGACCACATTGGGGAGGAAGAGGTCCGGTGATTAGTCCCCCACAGTCTCTCCCTTCAGCTTGTCTTCAGGTCCTGACGTGAAGTTTCAATTAAACAGAGGGTAAAGAGTATACATAACTAAGCAGTCCTGGACAAACCATGGTCCTGTCCATCATTGGCCATCATTGTCTCAGCCTCAGTGTCCCCTGTAAGGTGGTCTGACATGTTGTAGCATTGTGTGAAATCTTTTCCTCAGAGACAGACTTTTCCTTTGATTGGCACAGGGTTTCCGCATTTCCCTTCTGCCAGCATGTGACTCCTGGGGAAATTCCTATTCCTTTTGGTACTTTGTTTCAGTAATTAGATCATTGGAAGGAAGCAGCAGAGTGTCTCTTTAGAAATACCTCCACTCCTGCCAGGACAATTATAGTAAGACAGGAGCAGCAGGCATAGGACATGACATTTTTCAGATGTCATAATAAGCCAACACTTTAACTGAATGATTCTAGCCATGACAAGATGAATTAGGACAGTAGTGGCCAAGAGGATGCGGGATGACAGCTAGGAGACTCCACACGCAGCAGGTAAGAAGTGAAGAAAAGATGAGAGTGAAGGGCCACTCAGAGGAGCTGGTGCTGAGGGTCCCAGCAGGTGTTCCTTGGGAGAGAGAGAAAAGTAGGCCCAGTACCAATGATAGAGGCACCAGGAACCGGTTGAAATAACAGGTTCAGTTTATTTAGGAAGGGGTGAGCCTTCTATACTCCCCACCCTACCTGGGAGTGAGGATCTGCTGAGCTGGCATCTGCTGAGGTGATATGGCCACTGTCTATAAGTTCCCATCATCCCCTGTCAGACTCGGCTGCTGTTGTCAAGGCCCTCGGGCAGACCCAGGGTGGCTTTCGGGAAATAGCTACTGCATGTGTTCTTTACTGTCAGTCTAGGCCGGCTGGCTGTCAGGCCTAGTCATCCTACAAGCTGGTTGGGAAAAAATAGCCAAAGTGACCTGCCCTGTGGCTGCCTGAGTTAAGGAGGATTTGAAGATGGCGGAGGCTCCCGGTAGTGTGCTCTGGACAGGCACCCCCAGAAAAGCGAGAGGATGGACAGAGGTGCTGATGGAAGGGTGAGTACACTGACTGTACCCTTCCCAGATGAGAATGTTCTCTAGGAAGTCAGAAAGGCTTGCAGCTCACAAGCAAGCCTAGGGAGTTTAGATTTCAGGAAGTTAGAAGTTGAGAGACTAGAGCTGAAATGTCAATGTACACCCAGAACTAGAGTATGGAAGTGAGAGAAAGAAAGAGATGGATCTTAAGTAATCCAAGATGAAAGCTGTCTTAGTTGCTTTTCTATTGTCATAACCGAGGCAACTTATAAAAGACAGCATCTAATTTGGGACTCATGGCTCCCAAGGGTGAGTCCATGATCATCATAGCAGGGAGCATGGTAGCAGGCAGGTA